AAGTCGGGGCCGTTTTTTTGTTCCAGTCCAGCCCTGTTCAATGGTACTGAAGATTCCAAAATCAAGGTTGAGCAACATTTATTTCATAATCTATAGGATGATGATGATTATATTACGATAATGACCATTATTAATGTCAACACTTTTTTTGTTTTATTATTGCTAACATTAGTATTTACCAATCACTCTCTGGACTGGACTGATGATAGAGTTGAATTTAAGAACCAGTTAAGAACACTCTAGCTTTTTTTTCTTTTTGCAGCGGATCACCATTTTATCATTTATTGGTTTTAAATGTTGTCAATGTGAAGCACTTTAATTCTGTATGAACCGTGCTATGGAAATAAAAGTAGATTGATTGATTGCTCATTTCAATCCTTATTTGATGAAACAGTGGAAAACACACATATGATAACTTAGTAGTCAGTAACATCAGCAGCTTTTTACCATCTAAAAAACATTGCAAGGATCAAAAACATAGTGTCTAAAGCAGACCTGGAGATTCTTAGCCATGCATTTGTCTCCAGTAGGTTAGACTACTGCAATGGCCTGCTCACAGGTCTCTCCAAACAGGCTGTAAAACAGCTGCAGTACATTCAAAATGCAGCAGTTCTCAGGTCTCTGCACTGGCTTCCTGTGGCTCAGAGAATAGACTTTAAAACAGCTCTGCTTGTGTACAAGTCTCTCCATGGCCTCGCACCAAAATATATTAGTGACATGTTAGTACCATAAGAACCAGCCCGGACTCTGAGGAGCAAAGGGACTGGACTCCTGTTAGTGTCCAGAGTCAGAACTAAACATGGGGAGGCTGCTTTTCAGATTCATGCTGCTAAAATCTGGAACAGTCTTCCTGAAGATGTGAGACAGGCCTCCTCAATGTCAATGTTTAAAACCAGGTTAAAGACAGTTCTGTTTAGCTGTGCATACAACTGAGGGATTTTATATTTATATTTTTATTGATTTATCTTTCTTTTTAATGTTCTGTGATTATTTATGATTTTAATGCTTTCTTGTTTTGTTCAGCACTTTGAATTGCCTTGTGTATGAATTGTGCTATATAAATAAACTTGCCTTGCCTTGCCTAAGTTTGGGAAATATTCAACAGTTCCAGTCAGTACCAATAACAAGTATGTCCACTGTCTACACTTATTAATAATAATAATAACGTAACCATGTAGCAGCCTTTTCAATATATAATTCATTCGTACTCCCACCAGAGGGCAGCAGCATTCCGGACAAGAGAGCTCAGTGGGTCTGAATGTGATTGTGGGTCTTAAACGCATGCACAAGAAACTAGATAAGCCTTTTTTATAAGAATTATTATATATCTGTAATTATTCAGGACACATTGCCGTGCGTATACACCATATTGCAAACCAAATTATGTTCAAACAGATGCTGCAAATTCAACGGGATAATCTGCAATGTCTTCAGGCAGCTGGGGACATTTTGTTTCTCTGAACTTTCTCATTTTTGTGCCCTGGATGCTGGCAGCCCTGTAGTCAGTATTCATTATCGCCACTTACAGCTTTGACTTAAGCACGGCAATTACATCCTCAACTGCTCTGATTAATCCAACATGGAGGCATTTCACAAAAAAGAAATTTCCAAGACACTTACTAGGGAGTAGCTGGGGCACGGCTTGTTTATGTTGATAGACCAGCCAGTCATATTGGAAATAATATGTTTTCACTGGCTGCTTAAGTGTTCTCCTAACCTCTTGTGTACGCTGCAGACAAAACAATGGATCATTGAGTGGAGTGATTAATTTTGCCCTTTTTTCTGACATAAGATGGAAGTGTGCCTTGTGTCATGTTAAAAATTGCAGTTTTCTGTTGTTGCAAAAACAAAAGCAAACATCTTCACTGCTTCCCACTTAACTGCTTAACCTTTTCTATTCTCCTGCAGCAATCACATAATCAATCACTGTCCCATTACTTGAGGCAGACAAAGTGTATTGAGAGTGAGGAAAAAAGCAAGAGGAATGCTGACATGAGAGCGGCTAACACAGGCAAAAAAACACAGCCCCAGTAAATATTCAATTTAAAGGATTCCTCGATAAGGCGGGTTGAAAAATTGAGGCAGCACCCATTCTTCTAGATAAGAGAAGACGGAGCCATCTGGAGGCTGGGTGATAGCAAACTCCTACGCCATCCCCGAGACCTCGCTCTCATCTGCAGCAACGGCACAGAGGGGGGAAAATGAGTGCCAACACTTTCATTATGTTAACTTCAAAATGAATTCATTCACATTCACAGTGTGCACTTATTGGCTTTGGTAAACAAGAGGTTGCACTATTGTCCACCACAATGGACAGCGAAAGGCCTTATTGAACGGGCAAGCAGAGTGTGTGGTTTAAAACTTTAAAAGAAAATCATAAAAAATGCATAAAATAGAGATATAAAATGTAGATGGGTCAGTTCAGGGGTTAAGAAAAAGAAGAAGAAGAAGAAGGCTCAAGGCCAGCCAAATACAAATTCATCCTTTGCCGGGACAATTCCTAATGAGGAACTACAGGCTGTTAAACACAAGCAATACATTCACTTTGTAAATAATAGTAGTAAAAGTGATAAATTAGTGATAAATCAATAGTTAGTTTGTTGAAGTTTCTTTCCCAGTAATGTTAAATGTGTTAAATCTATACAATATATTGCTCTCAGTTCACCCATATAAGCATGTACTGACTGAGCAATGGAACATACTGTAGACTTACACGGGCTCTTATGACAAAATATTGGATTATATTTCATGATCTTTGTGTCATTGTTGAATAAAAATAGAAAACAACCATTATTCATATTGTGGCCTCTGCAAAGCACAGATAGTCCTGCTCTCATCAGACTAAATGAAGCAGAAAAGTCATTGTGCCGGTTACAGATGCACAAAGAGTCACTTCTGGCCTGGTTCCCCCCTCTAATCAACCTTGACTTGAAAACAAACATTATCGGCCTGAGAAAGACACTGGTAAATAACCTTCCTCACCTTCTAATGCACTTTGTCGACTCGTACACTGAACCATTTCATGCCAGTCACATTGAATTTAGCTCTGGGATAATACTTTTGTCACTACATTTTATCTGTTCTCTCACTCAGGTATGCAACGCTGCTATCCTCAATTACCCTGCCCCTGCATTTTCACACTCGGCCTGGGATCCTTTCTGCTTGATAGGAGATGGAGGTCGATTGGAAATTTACTTATTGCGTCACTATCTCTTTGACCCGCATCTAGGACTGAGTCTCCCCACGGGCTCCTGTGTAAAAAGCTGTTAAATGTGTGATAACAATGACCCATAGTGATAACCTTCCCGACTTGAGGACACACAGTTTGCTACACGCTGTTGCAGTTGCAGCGTTTCGCATTCAACCTTGGATGCCCTCAATGGGATCGAGAGGGAGGCTAATCACTCTGCGTGGCGTCTGACCATTGTGTAAAATAGTTTTGTGGTAGTCGGGCAGGAGAAGCCTTGGCTTTTCCTTCAAGCCTATTGTCACTTTGATTAATATAGCAAAGGGGGCCAACATCTGCTTTTGGAGATTTTCATTAAGATCAATGGCGAAGCTCAGACAAGAGTTAGTGAAGCTAATTTATTATACCCTTAAGTCAGAGCTGATGAGATTGGAACACAGTGAATTTCAGGATGCTTTGGGTTTGAATTAAGACCACTGGGTTTTTGAGTTTTCCTTGCCGATGCAGGAGGGTCTAAGGAGGACATTGGTAAACCTAAGCCTATTTATTTCTTTCTATGTATGTTCTTATTGTTTAATTTTCTAATCTGCTGTTGGCAAATCGACAATTATGTGACGCCCCTACCCTTGAGTGGCCTGCGGTTGTGATTTTGGGCAATGCAAAAATAAATAGACTTTGATGATTTAATAAATAACTACTCTATCGCTTTAACTAGTCTATTTGACTGCAGTAGGCCTATACAAAATAATATAAAAACAATGTATTAATCTATTAAATTGGGTAAAAATGCATGAGGAAAAATATATAATGACCCAATCTGTAATTATTTCTCATAAATGAAATCCCTGTTCTTGTATTCAAATGTTGTGTTAGGGACAATCTAACTGAATTGAAAAGTAATGATAGATTTGTAATTTCACTTTCACAGCGCTGTTTTTAACCCAATATAAAAGTGGTTTCAACAAGGACTTCACTCCCTGGTTTATTATCAGACACAACCTTTTTTACAGGTAGGGGGTTCAAAAAGCTTCTCATGGTTGACTTGCCTTATATTTGGCACTATGGTATGAGGGAGTCTATCAGAAACTACTTTTAATCCTTTCCCCACTGCCTTGTGCAATGTTATGCTGCTATCTTAATGATAATCTTAGCCTGTATTTTTTGCCCTGGGCGTTGCTGTCAGCCCGTGGTGGTTACAGGGAGCTGAGCCTTATCAACAGCTTTGTCATTAAATCAGCTTTTTCTACAGACAAATTTCACTGCTATTATCAGACCATCAACGCACTGATTTACTTTAGTCGGTTCAATCAAAGCTGTGCAAATGGAGTGTGGAAGTTGGAAAGATTAGATACAAAGTAAAATGGCTGATGGAGAAGACAATATTTAATTAGCTTTTTTTGTAATCAGACATGAAATTATTTGCATTCATATTTATCAATGGCTTGATTTTTGTGTCAATATATTATTTTCAAAAGCTACATAGCAAAACATGTATGGGCAAAGTCTTTCTCTTGATGCAAGCAGAATTCTGTTACCCAGGACTTTGATGGCTTTTTCTCATATCAATGTAGAAAAAAAATGCATTCAATGAACAGTCTATTTTGATATGTGATGAAGGACATTCCAAGAAACAAAAAACAAAATCCTTTCAAATGCTGTTGAGTCCAGCTTCAAAATGGTCCAAATTCCCTCCAATAGATCTAAAGTGAGTGTTCTGATTGTCTCAGCATTGTGCTTGAGTGGAGGGCAGCTCTAAATGAACTCCTTCTGATTCCACCCTCTCCACTGTTTGACTCAAGTTCAACCTTTTCCGTCACAGCGGGGGCAGCGGCATCCGAGCCCCTTCCCCCAGACACACTCTTTTACCAGGGGGGAAACCGGCGCTGTACGGCAGAGGTCCTGGAGGTCTTTTACATGCTGCTGACTGAGACGAATCAACGCCTTCCCTCTCCTCCCAGAGCGCACTCATAGCCTCCGGAGGTTGGTAGCCGGGCTCCGCGGGGTCAAGCGGGTCTTTGGATAGCAGAATGCTGATGGAAGGAACTGACCTGTGAACTGTCATCTCTGAAGCTCCCCCTTCGCTGTTCTCCCACACCTCTTTCACAGTTTTATAGCGCAGTTTGGTAAGCTGGTGGAGGGACCCTACTTTCCGCTTCATGATCTCTGCACACGTGATGGTTTTGGTAACTGCTCGGCCCGACCCGCTGAAGACCACCTGCCTCAGACCTCTGGCGCTGTCTTCAGTTCCGGTCGCTCCCTTCTCGCCTTGCATCCGAGCCATGGCAAAGCCCATTAGGTTACGGATTTTGCTGCCCTCCTTCACGCGCATCTCCAACACGCCAGAGGGCAGACCTGGAAAGGGGCTGGGGCTGTCTTCTTCACTTCGGCAGACTTTCTTGAAGCCTTCTTGTCCCAGCTTGACTGCCGCAGGAGGGGCAATTGGTGGCATTGGTTTAGGCGGTATTGGGATGTTGTGGACCACCGGATTTGGATTTGCAATAGGAGGGTTGTACATTTGACCCTGGTATACAGAGCACATCGCCATGCTCCCGCTATTCTGTATTTGCGTTTGTCCATCCAGTCCTGTATATAAGCCTGAATTGTCCGTGGTCAAATACTGACGGTGGGCACTTGCTACTTGGCATCCCGTGAACATTTTTACTGACTGTAAACTTTCACTCTGTTCTCTGCAAATATAGAGCTCAAGAAATCGTTTGAGACATTCCCCCCCTCTCCCAGTCAACAGTAGTAAAGTTTTAAAGACTTCATAAGAAATATTCTTCAGTCCCCAGGAGGACTATCAGTGGATCCTTTAATGTTTCCTCTCAGTAAGAGCTGGAGAAGTAAGATAAACGGCAGACCGCTGAATTAACAGCACTGTTGGGATAAAGAGCATCTCAATTTCAGACCGCAAATGGAGAGTGGGAAAGTAGCCTGGTGACAGACACAACAAATATGTGGTCAGTTATAAATCATATTTACATCAGTCATGCATTGCAAAACTTGACACAACTATTTTTTCAGTTTAAAACTTATTCCAAGCTAAATAAAGGCAAAAACAATTCAAGACTTTTACCGTATTCTTTGAGGCTCCTTCTGCGCTGGTACAGTTACATTTGGTCATGTTCCATCAACTGAAAAAAAAGCTGTGAAAGTTGCAGCCCTGGCTTTTGTGCTTCTGGATGTTTTACTCCAGATGGGGTACAGCTGTATCTCCTCTTCTCACTCTGGCGGAGCAGTGGAGTCCACTGGAGGTCAGCACCTGGGGCGTCATCCCTGGAGCACAGTCCTTCTCTGCTGTGATGCCCTGGGAAGTGTGTTCTGTTTCCTCCATAGAGACATAAGGGACAGAAGCTGCCTCACTTGTGTTCACAGGAGGAGTGTCAGTGTGGTAGAAGGCAGAGCATGAGGGAGAGCAGAGACAGCCCTCTTAAAGGCACCGGCCTCTTCATCCTTTGCAACAATACACTCCCTCCCACAATTATTCCATATACGGAGTGCAAAAAAAGAGAGGTGGGTAGGGCTGTGTCCCTTTAAAACTCACAGCCCAGATCCCCGGCAACTTTGTCAGTCTCTTTAGAGGACGTTCTAGTGTGCAATGTACATGACTGATTAAACTCGAGTTCTGAAATAGAGATTCAGTCAACCTTTAAAATGCATTTTCAGCCATGAAACATTGAATTAAATTAGCTGGGCTTATAATTGAAAACATCCTTCAAACAGGCAGCGAAAGTCAGGCACATTAAATTGCACTGTAGTTACCCTTTATCCTATTAGATATTTGCGACAATTACGATTTACATAATGCGGCATTAATAGCTTCATTGTGGAGGCAATCAAGTGGCACGGGAGGAATGCTGTCTCTTAACGCTTGAATTACTAAAATGTTTCAAAGGCTGGAGAGTTCTTGCGATTCAAGGACACAGGGGCCCCAAAAACCACAAGAGCATGACTTCTATGTGCAGGGCTCTGTATTAACGCTGACTGTCTTCATTAGGCTGTCATATCTGTGTAGGTGAAGGAGATGGGGCTGACAGCTGCGGTAAAAAGTATCTTAATGGGCTTTCCATCACCAGTGGAGGGCGCTGCACGGTCCAGAGTACAGGGCGCAGACAGCTGTGGCACTGCCCCTTTAGCCCAACCTGGTGGTGGACAGGTGGAGTTGTGTTGGTGTGTGACTGACAGATTGGAGGATGGGTAAAGACAGACCAGTGAGGCTGAACCTATGAGGTCAGGAGAAAGAGTCAGACAAGCCCTAACTACTTTGGAACAAACAATACTCTGATCTATCTCTGTGCACACTCTTTTTCAGACTGAATTTGTTATATATTTTGTAAAGATAGAATAATATAAAAACACATTGCCTTATATTTTAGACAGACTATACAAAATCAGCAAATGCCCTTCATAAAAAAATGTAATGTTATCATTAAAAGGCTCATTCAAATGATTTGCACTGTCAGAAAACTGCATTTTGCCTTTAGCCAAATAGTATGTTCAGTAAAAATGTTGGATTGTATGTTTACTATATTAGACCACAGAGAGTTCGAACTACACACAATACGCTACTGACTGGTCGAGATTACTCTATAAGTTTTATATTTTTAAATTTACGTTTATTTCTTTAGCATATTGTATATTTATAGCTATAATATTGTTGATATTATAGCTTAAAGGCAACATGTAAAATTGCCTTTAACTTGCAAACTGTGCAATTTCAGTGTTGGTATTATAACTCAAATGCGCATGTTAGTCATGTTTTCTTTTTTGCAAGTTAAGATTTAGAGCAGTAGAAGACCAGGGAGGGGGTGGCTCTGTAGCTCACACTAGCAAAGTGATCATTCTGTTGTTTGGAAGAAATTACCCTCATCAGTCATACAGAGATGCACAGCTGCCTAAGGGGATGTGGTAATGTTACTGCATAATAAAGTGTGTTTGTGTGCGTATGTTTGTGTGTGTGTGCGCGCATGTATGTGTAGGAAAGAGCAGACATAAGGTGACAGAAGTTTGATTTAACAACAGAGAGTTTAGAGTTGGTGCGGTGTAATCGTCCCTCTTTACAACACAAAATTGCCACCTTATTTAGTCTTTTTCAGCCGCGACCAAAAACTCCTCACTCACAACAACCAGATAGATTAAACTGTTTATCTGAAATGCTGGAGTCCTCCAAACATTCTGTGCCTCCATTGCCGTGCGAACGATTCTCTAGATAGCAGTGTAAAACCATCACGTTTTATGGAGGGCCTCATATTGACCTTTTTGTGCGGAGCATTTTTCTTTAAGTGGTTTCGTTTAATGATGGGTAAAGGCAGCGGTGCTCACGCCTGGCCTAACTCTCCTCCACACCTCCTCCTCCACACAAGTGTCTCTTGTTTTGTAGCTTTCCAAGCACTTACTCCTCACTTTATCTGACCTCGACAGGCGCCAGCAGTGGTCAGAGACTTTTTCTCTTCATTCAACCACCGGCTCAGCTTATATTCCTGCCCACCTTAACCGCTGAGAGCTTTTTTTTTAGTATTTTATTCTGTGAAAGAGAAAGACTGACAAATTGCAATGGTCCTGTCTTGACTCGCTGCTATATTTTGAAACTCTAAAGTGGTTGTGAGAAGCTGCTGCAATTTGACTGTTTGTTGTATGCCTGCATGAGGACATTGTCACAGATGCACCAAACAGTGACAGCCGTTTGCTCACTTTACGTTAACCGCAATGTCTTCACGGTCATCAACCAACAGTGGCCTGGAGGCTGTCATTTCGCTCAATGTGCCTATAGCCGGCAGCCTGGTTCTGCCCCACAAACTCACAACCGGCCATGGGGGGTGGGTGGTGGTGAAGGGGGTGCAGAGCAAACAACGTAGACGTGCATATTTGCCCACGGAGAAGCACACTCAGCATAAGGCGAGCAATTACAGAAACATGGCAGAACACGATCAAGCAAGTCCACTATCAGAGAGAAATGAAGTGAACAGAGAGAGAGAGAGAGGGAGAGAGAGAGAAAAATGATGACTGCATTAATAGCTGTGTGGCAGGGAGACCGGGTGACCCTTTTGGACATTTCTCTGTGACAGCACTTTGAGGAGCAATTGGTTATGTTTGGATTTCACATTCAGACAGTTAAATCGGTCCATTTCACAACATTTCTGTCGTCGTCAAATTCCAATGTTGCAAATGTGTAGAATGCTTTAGCTATCATTCCTGCCACGGTTGTTTTGATTAATGACAGGTCAAATGTGTATTGTTTTCGACCAGCCATTCAATTCAATTCAAATTTAATTCCATTCAATGTATTCTTGTATAGCCCTGAATCACAACAGTCGTCATCTCCGGAGGACTTTACACAACCGTTGAATTCGCCGACACAGATCAGAGAATCAAACAGTCCAAAACACCAGAAATAAAATGTCTCGAGTAGTAGAAGTCAACACGTTTGAGAATATCTAAAACGAGCCATGAGCTGAAAAGGAAAATTGAAAGGGGAAAAAAAAATGTGTTAGTGATAAAAGTGCCGGCGCGGTGTAGTCGAAGACATGGAAGAAATTCTGGAGCAAAACATACGGTGATTCATGATTTATGAGGCCTGCCTGTGAGCATGATGACTTGGGCTTTCAAAACTAAACTATTTAACAAAGCTGTCACTGTCATCTTTTACCACTAAAGGCACATGCATCGTCTGTGTGAAAGCTAATGACTCGGTGAAAATGTAAAGGAATTAAAGAGTTGTGTGAGAGGGAAGTAAGGCGAAACAGAAAAAAAAAAAACATATTGAATCCCATTTTATGATAAAATATATGTGTGTGTGACAACATTAGCTACCCTTAGTATGCTGTTGGATGTTTCTCTATTTGTGCCTTTTTAAATATTCTTCAGGTTTCTTGATTTTGAAGTGATATCAGCACACTGGCGGACATGTACTAATACTAATACTAGTAGTATGTCATTATTTTATTTTAGTTTACTTGAATAGGGACAGTACACATTCATCAATATTTCTGTAAATGTGTCAGTATTAGCCATACAACTAGTTTCCAACGGTAGTCCGCAGGGCAAGTTAAAAGGCCGTCAAAATACACAGCAAATATTACCATACAAAAATAATTACTTAAAACATTACAATTTAAAACAGGTCACTAAAACATAGTTATAATAAAATATAACTACATATTAAAGTTATACTACTGTTATTCAGAGGATGATCCAGATTGGTGTTTAATGTCCGCCCTGACTTGTCATGTTTGTCATTCTCAGTTCCTGTTTTATTTTGTATTATCCTTTCCCCTATTATGAGTTTTACTTCCTGTTCTGTTGAGGTTTCACCTGTGTCTCCCAGTTTCTCTCCTGTGCTCTTTCCCTCTCGTCAGTCTATTGTGTTTGTTTCCTCGGTTCTTCTCGTCATCTCCTGCCTGTGTTTTACGTTCTGTTGAGTTTTGTTTTATTGTTTATGAACTCATTATTTTTGCAGTATTGTATTTTGGGTTCTTCCTCTCAATTTTTATGTAGGATCATAACGTGACTTGCATATGAGCACCAATAAAGTTGACATCATCATGATTTTCAAACTTTTTGGTCCAATACAATTTTGAACAGATCCTCCCCGTTCATATTGAACCGCATTATTGGTAATGTGTCGGCAGAACCACAGTTTTGTTTAAAAAATAAAAAGTATACTGTCTAATGGTGCTTTCAGACCGAAAACGCTGAAACGCAGCAGCCCAGCTCACCAGACGCGCATTCTCTAGTTTTCAGACGCAGAGGCTTGCACACTGCCAAACGACGCACGAACACAAGCACGCCCACCTCACTACACTGATACTGAAAAAACTTACCAGGGAGGTTGAGCTGCTGCGCAATGGCCTTCCATGCCGAATCTTTCTTTGCTCTGTCGCTATATTCCGGAATGCAGACTTTCCACAACTCTGGAAAGTTTGTAACAGCGACAATGAGACTATCCACAGCTTGATCCTCCATGTTTAAATGACCGGTTCCTGGCTCTCAATGGGGAAAACATACGCCGTGTAGTGGCGTGATTACGTCAGTGGTGTGCGTGCTCTCTGATTGGTCGCTGCACGAACGTCTCGAGGAAAAGTTGAGCGGAATCCATCTCCTGTGGGCGTTCATTTTCCGCTCCTTCTCCTCCCCTTTGACTTTCCCGCCAAGTCCGTGCGTTTCTACTGGGCGGTCCGTGCGCGTGTGCCGAGAGGTCCGTGCAATGCGACGCTGAAACGCGCCACCCCATTGACTTTGCATTGAACGCAGACGCAACGACTGTCCCGGTCTGAAAGCACCATAAGGGAGGATCAAAAACCTGTCCACCTAAATGAAATTTTGGTTTTCATTTAGGTGTTTTGTTGTTTGATGTTGTACATTTTACATAATTTCTCCCCAATGTATCCACCTAATGGAAACAACTCAATAATATCAAGAGCAAAAAAAGGAGAATATGTTACACACATATGTAGAGGGTAGACACATGCAGGGAAACCGGGGGCATTATTTGCCTAAAACAGGCTTATTTCTAAAAGTGTTTGATATTTTCAGGCTCTGGCTCATATACTGAGAATAAGAATTGTTAGAATATTCCTTGTTACACAATAAATATTCACTATATCCCATGCTTCTGGGTCAGAACCCTCTTTCCAGTTTTTATCTGACACAAAAGTTTGTGGGAAAACATAAATGAACTTTACAAGATGCAATTACATGTCCAAATATATCCAGTATTTAATTGTCTAGAGGAGCAATCATTCTCTGCCCTAAAAATCTTTGGTAACGTCGTACTTTACAATAGAGGCATAATTGCAGGAGTTTAATTGCCTGCCAATGCTCTGCTCCCTCTGCCTGCTTGCATTGAAGAGTCCAATAATTAGAAACACGGAGAAATTAGGTGGCAATTTTGTCTTGGCAATTATCATAATGCAAAAGAAGTGCCATTAGTATTGTTAGCTTCACAGTACATAATCCTTTGACACTGTCAAGTCCCTCTCTAGCTGCTGGGTACAACAACTCTTGATTTCCCTGTAGCCTCTGCACTTCCTCCGTCACTGCTGGAGTCAGCTCCCTCACGCACTCTGAGAGACAGGCTAACAGCGCTAACAGACAGAGCACATCCACGCCCCAAGTGCTGGAGGATTAGCCGCTACAGTATTAGCAGTCTGCGTCTTTAAAAGGTAGAAAAATTGGGTGTTAATCCTCTTCCACCATGTCAAC